TTTATGCCAGCCCCACGGCTTTCCTTACATCACAAAGGTCCCGATGCTCCCACGGCACAGAGAGCAAGGCTCGGCCGAGGGAGAGGATCAGCACAACCCCAAACTACTCAGAGGCCACCACCGCCGCCCCGTATGGAAACCCTTCCCAGGGACGCCCACCCTCCGATGTGTGCCAGGAATCTCTCTCTTAATCTCTCTCTCTGGCTCCACAGCGTGGGACACACTCACAAGGAGAGACTTGGGTGGCGGCAGTGACTCACTCTGGGAAAGGAGACCGGAGGGCCACCAAAGATGGTCAGGGGACTGGAAACCAAGCCTTCAGAGCAGGAAAGGCTGAAAGAACTGGGCAGGTTTAGCCTGGAGAAAAGAAGATGGAGGGGAGATTGGAGAACCCTCTTCCAAGAGTTGGAAGGCTGTCCTACAGAGGAGGGGCAGGATCTGTCCTCAGTCATCCCAGAATGCAAGACATGCAACAATCTAGCTCAAGCTGCAGGAAGCCAGATTTAGGATAAATATCTGTGTTTGTTTTTTTAATCTGGAGCAGAAGATGGTGAGTGCTCCGAATGCTGGAGGCCTCCAAGAGAAAAAGACAACCCTCTAAACAGATCTGCTTTGATTTAGACTCCTGCATTGAGGAGGAGGTTGGACTTCACGGCCTTCCAAGCCCCTTCCTGTACTTCTATGAGAATCAATAGGGCCACACACTCCCCTTATCCAGTTCCCAACGTAGGTCATCCTGCAAAGCCACCAAAGCAGCCTCTGCCTCATTTCAGGGCCTGAAGCCAGATTGAAATGGATTTCGGTTCTCTCTCTCTCATGTAGGAACCTCTTGAGCTGAGACGTCCCAAGCGGCGCCAGCTCCTTGCCTGAGAATGGAACCTGCCCAGGTGTAGCTTTTTAAAGGGCATCAGGGAGGGGGCAAGATGGATTTCAGGTAGTAAAACCTCCCAAAGGCATTGGAATAATTCACTAGTTGGAATGACTTATGTAGAGCTTGCTTCTGGACTACTCAGAGGCCAGCACTGGTAGAGGTAGAAAGTCCAGTCTGGAACCAGTACAGGCAGTAACCGGATCCGTGAAGCCTAGCTAGACCCCAGGCCTCACCTCTGCAGTAATTACGAAGTTCAATAATTATTGACTATAATGGGATCAACACTGGTCTTATATTGAATTATTGGGATAATCAATATTTTCAGTTGGAGAAGTGGCCAGGATGTAGGTACAGTACTTCTTGCCACATGCGTTGGGAATGTGACGATTTCTTGGTTTTCAAGGGAAATAATGAAATTATCAACTATAATGATCAACTAGTGGTACATCTTAGAATAATGAAATTATCAACTATAGCAGTACAGCTTTCCTAAACATTTTACTTCTTTAAAAAAAAATTTTAAAAAAATAAGGCATCCCCAAGAAAATTAATTTGCATTTGGGAAAGCTTGAAGGGAGGTGGAAATGAGGAAGACCAAAATACGAGATAGATTGACTCCAGAAAGGAATCCACAGTCTCCAAGAGTCTCTAAGAACTGACCACAGCACTTGAGGACAGGACAGCCTGGAGGTTTGGCCCATGACAACAACAACAGGAGCCTGCTAAAGCAGACTGTGAAATAAATGGTCGTCCTGAGGAAGCCTGGAGTCCACATAAGGAACCTCCAAATTCCTCTATTCAAAGAGCAGCAACTATATACCTTGATGTGCGTTCAACGGCTTCTTCAACCTCCTCATCTCAGCGTCACGTTTTTTCACAGCTAACCTCCATTTTCACCTTCCTGTTCCGATCTGCTAAAAAGTGAGCTTCCTCCCAGCTGCACCTTCATTTTCTGTAACATGGCTTGCGCGCCTTCAGCTGACTCTCTCAGCTTCACACTTTCCCAGCTGCCATCTCACACTTTCCATAGGAAATCATAGAAAAGTGAAGTTGGAAAGGGGGCCTACAAGGCCATCCAGTCCAACCCCCAGCTCAAGGCCGGAATACAATCAAAGCAGATCATCCAAGTTTTCCTTGAATGCCTCCAGAATCTTCCACAGAATCACATTTAATTCTTTTAATCATACAGGCTATTTTTTAAAAAACCTTGTTTTCCCACTCCTTACCTGTCTCTTGAAACTGCCTGCTGTTTGGATAAGAGTCTTAGGACATGTGTTTGGATAGAGAAGCCAGAAGAGACCTCGCCTCAACCCCCGACCACCTGGACTGGAGGAAGACGGTGAGCCCGGTCGGAATCTGGCAAGAGCCAACGTTCTACCCATTGTGGGTTAATGGGCTCAAAGACCTCACCTGTCCCTCTCATTCTGCGGGGCTTTCTAAAAGGGGATAGTTGCCCTCGCTGCTCCCTCGCTCTCAAACCTGCTCTTCACCGAGAGAGGCAGAGACCATGTGTGCTTGCCTAGGTCCGTGGGCGTTGCCTGAGTTGCCAGCTCTCTAATTGCTTTTACTATTTGGTATGTCTTTTGGACGTGATGGCACTGCAGGTTAAACCTCAGAGCCTCTGGCCTGCAAGGTCAAAAGATCAGCAGTTCGAATCCACCCGTCAGAGTGAGCGCCCGTCTCTCGTCCCATCTCCTGCCAACCTAGCAGTTCAAAAGCATGCAAAAATACAAGTCGATAAACAGGTACCACCACAGTGGGAAAGTAACAGCGTTCCGTGTCTACTCACACTGGCCACATAACCACGGAAACTGTCTCTACACTGGCTCAACCACTTGAAGATAGGGATGACCAACGCCCTAGAATCAGACACAACTGGACTAAATGTCAAGGGGAACCTGTACCTTTACCTTATGTCTTTGTGAAAGGAAAGTCCCAAGCTGCAGAGAAAAATACTGCATAGGAACCTGGAGTGTAAGATCTATGAACCTTGGGAAGCTGGAGGTGGTCAAACAGGAGATGGCAAGAATAAACATTGACATCCTGGGCGTCAGTGAAATAAAATGGATGGAAATGAATGCTCCACGCGGCCATTTCGGGCGTCTGCCGGACATTTTGGAACCGCCAAACAGCTGATTGAAAAAAATCGCTAAGCGAAAATCAGTAAGCGAAATGCTTACCGATCGTCGCAAAGCGATTTTCGGCCATAGAAGGCATCGGTATGCGATCGCATTAGCGATAAAAAAAACGGATCGCTATGCGAATTCGTCGTTAAACGGTGCGCTCGTTAAGCGAGGCACCACTGTATTTACTTCTTGTTTATGAGATGTTAAAAATTAAGAGTGCTACCTCCAAATGAATAATTGAAGCCCAATATGCAGCTCTCTGTTAAGTGGAATGCGTCGTGGTGTTCATTCTTCACATGTAGACATGAGAAACGATCCAGGCTTGTAATTTGAATGCCCTTAGTTGCTTTACTTCAAAAACTCAATCAATTCTGAATTTTGTAGAAGGGGGAGCAACTCTAGGAAGACTCACTGAATATGAAGAAGTGAGCACATTATGTTGCTTGCACCTGCTCTCATACCTGATAAACAGTTATTCATATTTCAAATGATTCTTCACATCAAAATAGGGAATGCACTACCAGGTTTGTTTCAATGCCCAGGCTAAATACTTCTTGGCATGTTATCTCTGTGCCGGGGTGGAGGGAGTAGCCATCGCATTCACTCTGCCCAAAGTAATGCAGCAAAAACATATTTCCAATGAGGGGCAAGGCGAGCTTCAAGAGCCATCTAGAGGCTACTTAGCTAAGTCAGTACAGTACCTTGCTGAAAGGAAGCAGCCCGGATGAGAGGGGCGCAAGACAAAAATGCTCCCAACAGCCCTTGGACACTTTTTGAACAAAATTGTGAAAGAGGAGACTGCAAAAAATGGTCTGATGCTCAACATCAAAAAAACTAAGATCATGGCCACTGGTCCCATCACCTCCTGGCAAATAGAGAGGAAGATATGGAGGCAGTGACAGATTTTACTTTCTTGGGCTCCATGATCACTGCAGATGGTGACAGCAGCCATGAAATTAAAAGACACCTGCTTCTTGGGAGGAAAGCAATGACAAACCTCAACAGCATCTTAAAAAGCAGAGACATCACTTTGCCGACAAGGGCAAGAAGAGAAGGGACAGCAGAGGGTGAGATGGTTGGACAGTGTCATGTAAGGTACCAACATGAATTTGACCAAACTCCGGGAGGCAGTGGATAGAAGACAGGAGGGCCTGGCGTGCTCTGGTCCATGGGGTTTGTGAGTGTGTAACGAACAAGCATCCAAAACCCAACCTTCACCAAACTTGGAAGGAGTATAGAAGAAAGTCTGGAGAAGTTTCCCTGCAATTTTGGTGTATCTAGGTGTCTGGGGAGCCATTTCATAGCTCAATGAGTCAAATAAAAAACACTATAAATTAGTTGATTTGTATTCATCGCGGGCATCAATTCGAACGAATAAAAATCAAATTAGCGATTTTTGATGAATTTTGCAATTAATTTTTTTAAATTTGTGCTCATCTCTTAACTGCAGACCATTTCCTTAGAGGGGCAAAGTTGCCCTGGAAATTGCTGTCTTCCTGTGTCGGCCTCACCCACGAGTTTTGACCTGAAAATTCAATGATCAGAAACTTACAAAAACCTGCATCAAGATAAGGTTGTTGTTCTTTCAAATGGTAGAGGACTTTATTGTTATATTCCCTGTTATAGACTAATCTCAACCCTTTTTGGGGAAAAGCAGCCAAGTGGAACTTGCTTATTTTGCAGGATTGGAAGGCAGCTGAAGGTTCCCAAAGGGGCAGGCTCTTCCCGACGAATGCCTTCAGACATTCCTAGCACAAGAACTTGGCGACGGTTAACAACAGTCCTGTAAAGTAGACCCACACAACAGCTTCTGTAGTACAGCAAGTTTACAGTTTGCAATACCATGTCGAATAATGTTTCAATATGCCCTTGAAGGGTGATGCCTAAGAAGTGGTCTAACAAATAGGGATATTTTTTTAAATTAAGAAGACACATTGGGCATTAAAAAATCCAAGTTATCTATTCAGCAGCTTAAAAGGGGTTTTAAAAAGCACAGAGTAAAGTTGCACTTAATAAAGTTTATTTAGAATAGTAATTGAAAAAGGGAAGATGAAGAGACGTAGAAGGAAAAAGAGATTACAAAAAGTCACACATATACACAGACATCAAGATACAGCGACTGTTTACAAAACATGAATAGCAAGAAGGCATGCTTCAGAAAGTCCCTATTTAAACTGGAGGATTTTTCTCTATCCCTTGGACTTTTAAGTCATAAGGAAATGGATCTGTCATTAGGGTGCCTATCATAGTGTTTCCAGCATAGGACTAAAATGGATGTACCGGGACAATTCTAACTGTGTCTATGCTTCCTTTCCACCTCTATGCTTCCCTTCCAGTCGTATCCTATTTTTGCCTTCCCATCCTATGGAAGAGGTACCATTCCCTGTTCTTCTTACTTACCAAGATCCAAAAATTGAATAGAGGTTTGTTTTTTAGACTATAACCTCCACAATCTCCCCAGGCAACATGGCTGAAACAGCTGAAGGGTATTTGTATGGTTTCTCTCCTGAATGGAGTTTCTGGTGCTTCAGAAGGTTTGACTTGTGAGTAAAACATTTCCCACACTCCTGGCATTTGTACAGCTTCTCTCCTGTGTGGATTCTCTGATGAGTCATGAGATGTGAAGTGCAAGCAAAATATTTCCCACACTCCTGGCATCTGTATGGTTTCTCTCCTGTGTGGACTCTCTTGTGGCTCATAAGGGTTGAATTCCAGGCAAAATATTTCCCACACTCCAGGCATTTGTATGGTTTTTCCCCTGAGTGAACTCTCTGATGCCTCCTAAGGTCTGAGGTTTGAGCAAAACATTTCCCACATTCCTGACATTTATATGGTTTGAGACTTGAGTGAACTTTCTGATGCCTCCTAAGGTCTGTCTCTTGGGCAAAACATTTCCCACACTCCTGGCAGTTGTATGGTTTCAATCCTGAGTGCACTTTCTGGTGCCTCAGAAGATTTGAATTTCGAGAAAAACACTTTCCACATTCCAGGCATTTATATGGTTTCAAACCTGAGTGCACTTTCTGGTGCTTCAGAAGATTTGAATTGTGAGGAAAACATTTCCCACACTGCTGGCATTTACATGGCTTGTCCCCTGAGTGCACTCTCTGATGCCTTTTAAGATCTGGTTTTTGAACAAAACACTTCCCACACTCCTGGCAATCATAGGGCTTTTCTCCTGTGTGGACTCTCTGGTGTTTTAGAAAGTCTGAATGCCAAGCAAAACATTTCCCACACTCCAGGCATTTGGATGGTTTCTCTCCTGTGTGGACTCTCTGGTGGATCAAAAGGATGGAATTTCTGAGAAAAGATTTTCCACACTCCTGGCATTTGTACGGTTTCTCTCCTGAGTGAATTCTCTGATGCCTCCTAAGGTACGGCTTTTGAGCAAAATATTTTCCACACTCCTGGCATTTGTAAGGTTTCAATGCCGAGTGGACTTTCTGATGCTTTAGTAGGTTTGCATTGAGAGGAAAGCATTTCCCACACTCTGGACATTTGTATGGTTTTTCTCCTGTGTGGAGTTTCTGGTGTGCCAGAAGGTTTGAATTGTTAGCAAAACATTTCCCACACACCTGGCATTTAAATGGTTTCTCTCCTGTGTGGACTCTCTGGTGGATCATAAGGGCTGAGTTCCAGGCAAAATATTTCCCACACACCTGGCATTTGCATGGTCCCTCTCCTGTATGGATTCTCTGGTGGATCATAAGGCTTGAGTTCCATGTAAAACATTTCCCACACTCTTGGCATTTGAATGGTTTTTCTCCTGTATGGATTCTCTGGTGGATCAAAAGAAGTGAATGATGAGCGAAACATTTCCAACACTCCTGACATTTGTACGGTTTCAATCTTGAGTGGCCATTCTGATGCTTCCTAAGGTTAGAGATTTGAGCAAAATATTTTCCACACTCTTGACATTTGTATGAGTTTAAACCTGAAAGAACTTTCTCATGCTTCATAAGGTTTTGAGGAAAACTTTTCCCAAACTCTTGGCATTTACACAATTTCTCTTTTGAGTGGATTCTCTGATACCTCCTAAGGTCTGGCTTTTGAGCAAAACTTTTTCCGCACTCCTCGCATTTGTGTGGTTTCTCTCCTGAGTGAAATTTCTGATGTCTCCGAAGGTCTGGCTTTTGAGCAAAACATTTCCCACACTGCTGGCATTTGTACGGTTTCTCTCGTCTCTGGCAAGTCACAGGGTTTAAATTCCAGACAAAAAGTTGATTGTTATCTTCACATGGGTTCTCTCTTATGCAGTCATCCTGCTGGCATGGAAGTGGTAACTTGAAATCAAGATATTTTCTGGTTGCTTGACTTCTAAAATGTTTCTTTCCAGGCACTGTTGTTAAGGCAGAACATTTCTCACACAGAGTGCATTTGTAGGGCTTTTCTGTGGTAGAACACATCTGTTCTGCACGAGTTTGTTGGTGCCTTTGAAGGTCACATCTGTGAGTAAAAACACTGCCACAGTTGGTACATGTTCTCCTCTTGTTATCTGCTAGGAAAAATCACAAACACAG